ACAGCCATAAAAAAAGAATTTGGAGATGGAACTTGTGCGTCGTGTTTGAGGATTCTGTTTTATATCAAACACTAGAACATTTTCCAAAATTAATCAGATAATCAAACCATAACATTCAAGTAATGGCTGAGAGGATCAGAGGACACAAACTATAAATCAATACAAAAGCTACATATAGATTGATGCTATTAATCAAGCAATGGCTGAGAATAAAGAACGATATGAGGAATAGCAAAGCTTTCCAAATACCTATGATCTCTTACACATTCTATAGCAAAACATCGTATACTTGGCGAACAAAAAAGATTTTTTTCCACTACCGGGTTTTGAACCCAAAACTCGGATTCAGTCAGTATTAAACTAGAATAGTTGCATTAGACAATGTGTTTCAGCAGGTCTTTTGTTAATCTAAGAATTTATTTGGTACTAAAATCGCAAACAAAACATAGCTATCATGAGAACTACCTATCTTCACTTGGCTTACAAGATACAAAGATAGCAATGTTTTCCGAATTCATATGATCTAATCTCTTGCACATTCTATAGCAAAGCGTTTTATACTTGGCGAATCAGAATAACTGTTTTATCCGATCCAACACACGACCCAACCGAGTCATTAATAAAAATAACCAAAAAAAAAAATTTCCGCTACCGAGCTTAGTACCCAGAATTCTGATCTGGTATTTACTAGAAGATTTGCTTTAGCCAATGTGCTACAGCGGATATTTTGTTAGTTAATTAAGTTATACGGTATATACAGTTTTATGTGAAGGTTTTGTTGAAGAGAGTATTTAATTGCTTCCTTCTCTCTTATATATTCATTTCCTTTTCTGCTTCCTTTTCCGTTTTTGTTCTTAAAAATATCGTGCATGCTTGGCCTGATTTAGAAGATTAAGTATGGTCTAGTATTCCTCTCTTTCAGATCCTGTAGACGGATGCTTGGAATATCAAATCGTGGTGTGAGCTTTGTTTCTTATCTCCAAACTCCAAAGCAACGAAAATGATAAGTCTTGGATGATAAAGTGTGGTGTGAGCGAAGGAGGAACTCAAAGAAGAGGTATGATTTAGTTTCCAAGACCGCGGAACAGAGAAGTCTTGGATGGATTCATTCTCCATCCCTTGAGTTTGGGGATTCTTGGTAGAACTAAACTGATTTAAACCAAGGAACATAAGCTGACTGAGGAGGCAATCTGTCCCAAGTTTTTGAATTTGAGAAGATTGCAGTCAGAAATAGAACTGGCGGACGAGAGGGTAAACAAGCCCTAAGAAGAACCAATAATGGATTGGGTGCCTTCCATGCGGTACAGTAAGAGAGCTTCTAGTTAATTTTGAGGAATTGTTGACATTACAAGAGCTTCTAGACCTAGTCAAACGTCACTTTTACACTCCATGCCGTTCTACTTATCAACACTTAAACAACGCGCCGTTTTACTCTTAAAAATCAAGATCATTGTCCTCATGATTAGCGTTTAAACTCTTTGATGTAACAATGCAGCATTTGATTTCTAGAAGAATAAAACAACATCATCATTCTATATTGAAGAACCAAGCTTTGCATTGCTCTTCTTCCTTGGACTATTTTGTGACGGGTCGACGACCTTTGTCCGGACCACCAATTACACCCCATTCCTCAAACTGTGTCTGCCTCGCTCTTGCCCTTTCTTTCTCCTCTTCGGATTTTTCGGAGTAACAGTAAGGACAAGAAACTCCATACTCGTACTCTGAAGCTTCTATGACTTCATCACTTATAGGTTGCTTGCATCCATAGCAGAGTTTATGTGTTCCTTGTGCTAGACCATGTTCCACAGATACACGCTTGTCAAACACAAAGCATTCAACTTCCCACAAGCTCTCTGTTTTAGGGACTTCTTCAAGGTACTTTAATATCCCACCTTTCAGATGATACACATGATAACAAAAATGCTTTGATCTTTAAGTACCTTTGGAACCAACAGCTCAATGGTTAGATGTTATATTAGATTACCTCTTCGAAACCTTGGCTAAGAAGGAAGCTTGAAGCTTTCTCACATCTGATTCCTCCAGTGCAATACATAGCAATTCGTGGCAGCGTCTTTGGTTTTTCAGCTTTTCTTCTTTATGGATGATCTCAGAAAAATCCTCTTTGTCCACCTTTGCTTGTGTTTCATTGCATTCTTGCTTCAATGCAAATTGATTCTCCACCCAAGATGGGAAATTTCTGAAAGCTGTGGTACATGGATCCACAGCTCCTTTAAACTTCCCAATTCTAGTCTCATAGGTATTGCGCACATCGATCACTACTTGAAACACAAAAGTACCTTGACAATGTGTTATGGACCAAAGTTTTTTAAGCAAAAGCTTCCTTTTAATCCAAGCCTCTTTCTAGAGAATTAGGTTAATTGTTGGAGCTTAATTTCTAATTGATCATAATAGACCCTTATATAGGTTTCCATACAACTTAATCATAACCCTAATGCATAAAAGAAAACACTTAAACGTAAAAAGGAAAATATGAAAACGTCCTAAGCCTACCCTAATCATCCTAACCATAGTCTTGTATCACAATGTCAAAGATCTGATATCGTTGATCTATCTACCACAAGATTTAAACAAGATAGTAAAAAGAGGCCTCACAGTTTCTGGATCACTGATCAGTTCGTTCCATTCTTCGGGGCTCACACTCTTTCAATTGGCGAGACACTAGGCATGCCAAGCGTAACAATCTGCACAGACATAACAAAAAGTGAACAACTCTTGACAATCCACAAAACTCCTCCAGTCTCAACTTCAAAGACTATTGTGTACCTCTTTCTTGAGTTTCCCATCTAAAGGGAGCATCTTCACCAGTTGCAAGAGGAGTGCTACTGCTATGTCCATGGTGGATTGCTTCTTGCTCGGGACTCACAGGTGTCTCCACTTGCCTCAAACCATTCAATCGGATATCTCTCTGTATAAATGCCAACACTCTCTCCACTGATTCACGAATCCCACAGATACTTCCATTGATCCCTTCTGGTGCAAGAATGATTCCACCTGAAACACGCTGATGAAACCAGACAATCCAATCTATTACTGCTTCAAAATCAAAACCAAATTGTCTTGCTCAATACAAACACTCTTTTGTAAAGACTTAACCTTTCGTATCAGACAGACACTAATAATCTACAATTCTGATTGAGATAGAAGAAACGGCATACCAATTCTTCGCAGAGATCCCTGAGGGGCTTCCTGAAATCAGCATGATCAGTGGGAATTCAACCAAACCGGAATAAACCAAAACGTGGGTGTTTAAGAAAATAGAATAATATACGTCTTTGTTACCATGGAATATGTTCTTTTTTTGTCATCTGAAGTTTTATTAATAAACCAAGAGATCGTTACAAGATGAAATACATATGCGGGCGGACAATATGAATGTCCCCAGATACATTTGCCTAAAAGAGGGAAACAAAGCCCTAACATACAGAGAAACTAATTAAAACCAAACATAAAAACAAAAATTTAAAGAGAAAACAAACGTCATGGAGAAAGAGCAATTTAAGCACTATAATTGAACAAAGGCACGAGAGACACTCACAAAGCTTCCCTATAGAACCTGTAAAAGCCAGAAGCACTAATAAGACCAGATAGACTTCACACCGAAGACAAACCAGAAGCAAACCGGCAGGGAGGAAAATAAGAATCTAACGCGACCAGAGACACAAATACAACCACCAACACACCTCACCAGCAAATCAGAGAGAGCAAGGAACACTAGGGTCAAGGCAAAACCTTGAAATCGACTGGAGACAAACCACGAAAGCTCAATAATTCTTACACGCGGACACTCGTCGAACCAGCTTCAGCCACCTACAGACGTAAAACTGACGACGTCCTCGCAAGAGTATAACTAGAGAACGAATCCACTGCTTCGACTAGAACTAACTCCAAAACTTCCAAAGGAAACTTAAAGAGAGGCTAGTAGGTGACTCAGCAGCAAAATACCATCAAAATGGCTCACACCAAGAACGAACCTAGAGCAAATCGTAACCCCTAACCAGCAAGAGGATTCAAAGGAGAGGTAGAGCAAAGATCCAATTTCAAAAACCACAAACAAAGCCACCTCCATCAATTCAAGCCTCACAGACCACAACAATACCTAAAAGAAGCAACCTAAAACGATTCAATCTAACCCATGGAATATGTTCTAGTTAATTTTTTATTTTTTTATTATTTTATTTTTTGGGTTAGATTCTAGTTTTTTTTTCTTGTTAATTGCTTACAACATGTTCTAGTTAACTGCTTACAATTTTTGGATTAGTGACCTATTGGCTCTTTCTTATACAATGGAGATACCACTTCCACTACACAATCATTCTTACTTTTAACTAATATACATGCAACGACGATATCGGAATCTTACCATCTTTTAAGCTTTTAATTAAATTAAAAGACATCTACCATAGCGATTGCTTCCACGTACAATTGTATATTCACTGTATGAATTCACAAAACGCGACAAATATTTGAATCCGCAACATGTTTTACAATCGGAAATCAATCTCGGAAATGAACCTTAGGTATATCCATTCTAACCTCAAAATGTATGTTCGAAACATGCATAAGTTCCAATAAGAAAGAGTCGTATGGGTCGAAGAGTATTTTAGGCATTTTCTTTTCTTTTCTTAAAATATAATTTCCTAAATAACAAATTGCATGCATTTTCACAACTTTTTTTTTATTCGACCACATCCATTTCCCTAACTTCTTTCCATTTTATAGCTATCTTAGTAGTTTCCAACTTGAACCATAAGATTTTAAATTTTGTTCAACGGCATTTAATGCATTTTAAATAGTTTTGAGTATATTGGGTTAGGTTTTTTAATAGTAGTCAAATATCATATTAAGAACTATGACCAAAATAGATATCATATAGAAATAAATCTCTGAATTTAATATCTTTGAAAAAAATATTTTGGTTTCTTTATTCAATGGTTTCTATTATTTGAAATAGTATTAAGAAAAATTCTACAATTTTATTCAAACAACATTTATTACTCATGATTTAGGATCTGTTTTTCTCGTTTATAAACAAAGAATTACGACGTGAAACACGTGCATTTTAACATACATACATATGGAAAAATGTCAAATTTCGTGAATTAGTGAGAGAAAAAAAACACAAAATAAAATACTGAGGTGTATATAAGTTGATACATCAATCACAAATATTATTCTACTCAAATTTATTATTTGAAAAGAAGAAAAATGCGAGGGAAAAAAACAATAATCACAAGTGAAGATGTGAAGCTACTTGTGAAAATCATTGGTACAATCGGAGTCACCAATGGTCGCCCATATCAATACAAGGTTGAAGCTTGGACAAATGAAAACGATAGATATGAAACAAAGGTTGTACCAACCGAAGGAGATCCTGAGTTCAATGAAGATCTACAAATCTTTCAAGATAAGAATTTTCCAGCAGAATCTTTATATGTAGATGTTTTCAAAACGAATTCAGCTGGCACCTATTTCGTTGGGAGGGGAGTCACATTGTTGCCAACAGTTAAAGGGGTTGATTTTTACCGTGAAGTTGAGCTCTCTGGTCCTGAAGAAACTGGAATTCTTCAATTGTCACTTAATCTCATGGAATTCGAGATACTTGGTTATCTTTTTTCATAATTTATGTTGTTGTGTTCTTAATTTGATATTGTTATGAATAATGAATAATGCATACTGATAATAAGGTATCATAAATTAAATCGTGCATGTTTGCCTATGTACTAATGATAATATGAATAATGGAATTCAAGGAAGGTGTTTTGATTAATTTCTTTGGATCTTCTAATGATCAAATGTTGTAACGGCATCTCTTCTTCTTCGTGAATCATCATCATCGATGGTTGTGTTGGAATATTGATATTATAATCTAGTTAATGAATAATGGTTCTGCTTAAAATCTTTTTTTTTTTGGTATTTTACTAATGATAAATATGAATCATGGAATTCAGGCAAGGTGCTTATCAAGCTACATCATTAACAACAAATTACATATACGGACAATGTGTTAATGTTTTTTATATTTCGACGATTTAATGCTTTGGAGGCATTTCTTCTTATGCTTTGATGATGTCGTATGATGATTCGTGAAATAAAGGTGTGTTTGCTAGGTAAAGTAAGATTAGTGTATTCGAAACCTAAAAATCCAATTTCATAATCAACCCAATAATCATTATTCAGAAATTAGCAACAACGACAGTCAAGTTTTAATCTTGACCGTTCATATCAGTGCTTGGTTTGGCTTGATCCTCAATTTATCGCCGTTTCTCCGATTTATGATTAGATTTATTTTTGGGAAATTTGGATATAAAGGATAAATAATTTTATTATTGTCTATTTATGCATTCTATATTCATAATTGATTATATATATGCTTTAATATTGGTCATATATGCTTTAATATAATTAAAATCCCATTTTATTCCTAGTTTTTTAAAATCTTGCTAAACTATAAAAAAATTCCAAAATTAATTAGATTTCTTTCTAAAAACTATTTGGAGAAAATATAGGGCAAAAACAATATTTATTTACTTACCAAATTTTTTTGCCTAGATAATTCCAAATCTTCTTCTTGTTTGATTTTTTTTTTACGTTAACTTTTTCAATTCTTTGACGGAAACTTCTTCTTTGATTTTCTCTATCGGTAGTTTTTTGGATTTCTTCAATTCTTTGGAGCTTGTATATCCAGATAAGGAGAACGAAACGAGGAGAAGAAAAAATAAGGAACAAAAGAAGAGACGTCAAAGTGGGAAAATAAACTAGGGTAATCTATTCACTTATGTATAAAGCATTCTAAACTAATTAGAATGTATGTTCTAAAATTTGTAGACGTAATCTTAACCTTAATATTCAATTTTATCAGATGTAATCTTAACAATATTCAATTTCTTTATTTAAAGATTTATTTTCCTTTTTAAAAAAGAAATTCTAAATTATATAGAATTTTGTTTTCTATTTTTTGTAGAATATATAGGAAAATATAAGCATTGAATATGTTGCTCCAGCTTCATCCACGTGAGAATTTTCAAACACGCCGACTGTATGTATACTTATCAAAAACATCCTATCTAAATTCATCATTCCATATCAGGGTACAACTGCCATCATTGTCGTGGTTCGAACCCATTGTTTTCCATAATTGGCTACATAGTATGCATTTGTGGTTTGTTGACAGCTTCGTGTTTTCATTGTCTTTAGGATTCTATGTTCCAGCTTAGCTATCATGGGATTCCGTAGTTTTGTATCTGTAGCTCTCAAATCACTACAGTAATTTGCAGATTCATGTTGCACATGATACCTTCCTTCCAAACAAACTTTAGTCGTGCTAACATTTACGAGTATCAAAGCGATTAAAAATAAAATACTCTAATTCAACAAAAATAAAAACATCATTAAAACTCAACATTATCGTCATTTAAAAAGGGAGACTCACAAAAATACCCTTTTTTCAATACCCCTTTTCAAAAATGCCCCATTTGACTGTCCATTTTTAAAAATACCCCTTTTTATGTACAAAATGACTAAATTACCTTTCTTTTAATAAAAGATATCACAAATATATAAAGAAATATAACAAAATTAGGTCTACAAAATACAAAATATTTTTTGGCGGGAAAAGTGATCCTGCAATTTTTCCCGCCAAAACACTTGTAAAAGCTTATAAAACCTTTAAAATATCTTATAAAATTTTCCCGTAAAATTTTTTCCCGCCAAAATTTTTTTTTTGCGGGAAAAGTGATTCCGTAATTTTTTTGGCGGAAAAATTTTTGGCGGGAAAAATTTACAAGGTATTTTAAAGGTTTTTTACAGGGTATTTATAAGGTTTTACAACGTATTTATAAGGTATTTATAAGATATTATAAGATTTTACAAGCTATTTTATAAGCGTTTACAAGTTATAAGGTTTTACAAGTTTTTTATAAGGTTTTACAAGTTATAAATACCTTATAAAACCTTATAAGTACCTTGTAAAACCTTACAAAACACTTGTAAATACTCCGTAAAACCTTTAAAATACCTTGTAAATTTTTCCCGCCAAAAAAATTGCGGAATCACTTTTCCCGCAAAAAAAAAATTTTGGCGGAAAATTTTTTGGCGGGAAAAATTTTTACGGGAAAATTTTACAAGGTATTTTAAAGGTTTTTACAAGTGTTTTGGCGGGAAAATTGCGGATCACTTTTCCCGCCAAAAAATATTTTGTATTTTGTGGACCTAATTTTGTTTCAAATAAGGGTAAAATGGTCATTAAAAATTAAAAGAGGGCAAATTTAAAAATGGACTCTCAAAGGGGGCATTTTTGAAAAGGGGTATTGAAAAAACTCAAACTAGAAAACAATATAATAATTGTAAAACATATATATATATATATATATATATATATTGAACAGAAGTTGTAAAACATTTTTTTTTTCTTTTTCTCCACAAAATTAGTAACCAAAATTTCAAAATCAACGTTTCTAACCAAGATTTCAAAATAAGATTACAACTTAATAACGATTATTTGCAATTTTTGGGAAAAAAATTGGGTAAAAAAATTCAAAAAAGTAGAGTAAACTAAAAAAAAAAGTAAAAGCATGAATAATATCTTAACTACATATTTTGTTAAAAGTAAAACTATAGAATTAATAAATATATGCCCTTAAATTTTCCAAATAAAATGATTATTAGTTGACCACACTTGTTAAATCCTAATTTTGTATTACTGTAATTAGTTTGTAAAAAAGGAAAATTGATTAAAATAGCACTAAAATAAGTTTTTCTTCCAAAAATAGCACTATATTTAAAAAGTTTCACAAATAGCACTATAAACTTTAATTAAATATTAAATATGAATAATTAGTTTATTTAAGAGAAATTCTTCAAAATAACACTAAAACAAGTTTTATAGATAATTATATTACACACTCCATAAACTTCCAAAATAGCACTAGTTGATTAACTATTAAGTTTTTGTTCTAAAAAAGTTTGTCTTCCATTCGTCCCTCTCAATCGACTTTTCTCTTCTATATTTGATCGAGGCATTAATGTAAGTTCTTGGTGTCACTTTAAGAAAAGGTGAAGGTCCAGTAATTGAAGGGATTTCTGGGTATGAAGAATTCAAAATCATCTTAACATCTTGTGAGAGAATCGGCAAAATATCGTACCCACCTGGCCACCTCCGCGTAATGAAAAGAATATATGTTTTAGAGAAATCTAAGAAATGTGCCACACACTGTAGCATTTCTTACCAAAATTGCCACAACCCACAAATCCTTTTCAATTGTGCCACAATCCAATTTCTAACCCAACTTGCAAAGTCCAATTTACCCTTTAGAGAGAAGGCTTTTTGGTTCAATCTCCATTCTTCTCCTTTCTCTCTCATCTCTCTCTCTTTTTCTTTCTTCTAAAAAATGAAGCTCAATCTCCCTAGATATAAGAGTTCTTCACGTTTTCGATCTAGGAATACATCGTTGGCGATTTAGCGAGATAGAAAATCTGGGTCTGAATCTGGTTTGGAAAGTGGGAGCGAATCTAAATCTGAGAAGGAAGAAGATACATGTGGACAACATTTCTTGTCTACCAAAATTTTTGAAGTATGCCGTTTCCAATTCTTGTCCACCAAATTTCTTTGAAGTCTGTTTGTTTCAAATGTGGACAATATTTGTTGTCCTCCAGATATATTCTCAATCTATTGTTTCAAATGTGGACAACATTTCTTGTCTACCAAAATTTTCGAAGTATGCCGTTTCGAATTTTTGTCCACCGAATTTCTTTGAAGTCTGTTTGTTTTAAATGTGGATAATATTTGTTGTCCTCCAAATATCTTCTCAATCTATGTTTCAAATATGGACAACATTTCTTGTCTACCAAAATTTTCGAAGTATGCCGTTTCGAATTCTTGTCCACCAAATTTTTTTGAAGTCTATTGTTTCAAATGTGGACAATATTTGTTGTCCACCAAATATCATCACAATCTGTTATTTCAAATGTAGATTATATTTTTTGTCTACCAAAATTTTTCGAAATATGTTGTTTTAAAGTTTTGTCCACCAAATATCTGATATTTAGATATTTTCGTCTGAGGGTATTTTCGTCTTTGTCTGCCTGCCATAAAGTGGAGAAATGGCACATTGAGAAAGGAAAACTTTTTGTGGCAATTTGTATAAGTTTTGTTACAGTGAATGACACATTAGACCAAAATCCCTATGTTTTATCTTCACCTATGTGAAAGAGACAGTGAGACTTGCAGATTTGATTTAGTGAACTGCAAATCAATTCTTATACTAAGATTCTCCATGGAATTTTCGTATGTTTTATGAACTTTGTAAGTATTGGTGTATGCAAAACCTCGATAGTCTCTAGCTTTTTGGTAGTATCTTTTTTAAAAAAAGTCCCTAGCCAGTTTACCATCCAACCCGAAGAATATGAATCAAGAAACCTACAAACCATTTTATAATGCAAACAAACTGAGAGACATTATATTAATATTATCAAACATTATTCCACACATTTCTGAAGGAACTGCATTACAAACTCACCATGGTTTATTTTTAGGCATACACATAATACATAAGTGTATATATAGATGCAATCATGCATGGTGGTGAATATATGATATGGTTTTAAACACCCGGCTGAGTCTGAACAGGTTCGTCGTTAAGCCCGTGGCCTCCTCCTCCGTGGTGTCCTCCACCTCCGTAGTGTCTGTGGCCTCCTCCTCCTCCTCCGTAGTGTCCGTGGCCTCCTCCTCCTCCTCCGTAGTGTCCGTGGCCTCCTCCTCCGTATTGTCCACCTCCGTATCCGTCAAGTCCGTGGCCCCCTCCTCCTTTCTGTCCTCCATGTCCGTGGCCACCATGTCCTCCGTGGCCATGGCCATAGCCTTCAGGTTGCACAGTTTCCTCACTCTCTGGCTTCACCATGCCTGCCCAAAAAAAAACACGTTATTTAATTTCAAATATATTTTTAAGAACATCAAATATGAATTCCTCTTCCTGATTTCAATTTTGTTTCCCAGCTTAAATTCTTTTCTTAAATAGGTACATAAACTCGAAACTTTAGTTTTTATATATACGTTCGAAACACAGTTTACACAAAACTTACTAGGGCTTCCACATCACTTAGGTGAAGTATGTTTTGATAAATAGTTGGATAAATTTATCAAATGGTACGTTAGCTAAAATTTGATTAATTAGCCTCACGAACATATATCTTAAAAAGATAAAAATAACTTAGTTTATTTTAAGTAGAGTACTGAAACGTATTAAATAATTTGACGTACCCGACTGCCTTGCGGCAGACACTTCGGAGACGACGAAAAGAACTGCGAAGAGCCCTAACAGAATCAACGCCTTGGAAGCCATTTGTTTTCAAGTTCTAATAACTCTCTTAGTATGTTAAGTAAGTGATGAGTAAAATGTTACGCTGCATGCCCTCTATTTATAGAAATTGAAGAGGATAGGGAATGAGAAAAGTCAAAAAATTACTCCGTAGTAGAATAAAAAGAAGGCAATATTTTATCAAAAGTAAAGTTAAAGGAAATTTATCATAATAGAAACAAAGTAGTAAGAAGATAAGTATCAGAGTTTTAATACACGTGTTGCGTCGGGGCCTTTTAGTCCGTTGTTAGATTCATTGTAACCAAATATGAATCAAAGTATATGGCAAAAAATTGGAATAAAAGGATAACTACTTAAAAATTTGTCTATATATCCCCTTTTTTTGTAGATTGGTCAAATAGATTTTTTAAAAATCAAAATCCAATTTTACCCTCATTTTCTCTCAAATTTCATTAAAAAAAGCCTTCCTAATTTATTTACAAAAACCTAGCTATTGATTAATAACTAATTACTTATTCAGAGATACATTTACATTACTATATATATATATATATATATATATATATATATATATATTTGTTTCCATGGATAAAGTATGATATAGACGTGTGATATTAAAATATGTAATTAAGAATTAGACTATGGACAAACGTTTTAACGTTTAAGCATTGTAGGAAGTTTATGTTTGCCGATCATGATGACATTAGAGTGAGGTTAGGAATTTAAAATAGTGGTAAGACGACAGTTGAAAAATATTGGATAAAGAATATATATAATTGGTAACATGTTCATGATTAAAAAATAAAATAAACAGATAACAAAAAACATTATGTTGAAGTGTTTATTTGGTAGTCACCAAAGTGGTTAATCTCCGATCACAACAGTTGTTGGCTTGTTATCATAACCTAAATTCTTGAGTAATAGATGAATTTTTTGAAATAAAATTATGATACTTATGTTTGTATTCCAAAAAATGAATTGCATATGGTTAGATTATACTTACGTGGGAAAAAATAAATTGTAAGGAAAACTGGATCCAATGGTCATTTGTTTAGTTCTTGATGTTTTATATGTTTTTTTTTTTAAAAAGAATTCTTCAGAATTTTTGTAAGTTTTCTTACATGCTTTTGCAAGTTTTTTGGTAATGCAACAATCTCCCACGTTTTTTTCCATCAATAATAAGTCTCCACTTTTTCTTGTCATACAATCTCCACACAAATCGTTGCAAAAACAAAAAATGAATTTGAAGGAAAAACGCAGGATATAGCAAAAAAATCGAAAGTGGTGGCTTAGCTTAGGGTTTAGAAAACGTTTTAGGTTTTTATCTTTGTCTAAAAAACGTAGACAACAACTTTTACATCTTGTAGATCGTAATTTAAACAATAAATATTCATTTAAAACATAATCTACAATAAATATTTAGTTTATTTTTCTGAAAATTTACTTTCTATAGTTAGAGCATTCTAAAAATTACAGAAAACGAAATCTACAATACCGTAGAATTTACATTCTAAACGAAGATTACAATTTCTAACGATGGCAGAAGATGTAGAAATTATTAGAACGGCTATTCAAAAAAATTTAGAACATAGAGCAAAACGTAGAATGCATGTTCTGAATATTTTAGATATATGATTTTCGGATTTCTAAAATTTTCAGAACAAAAATCTAGTCTAAAATATGTAGAACATGTACAAAAATGCAGAATACACACTCTGAATTTCGCAGAACTCTAGAATACGTGTTCTACCAAAATTAGATGAAACTTTATCTATAAAAAAATCAACTTTTTTAAACCAAATCTAAAAAATTTCACTTCAAATCACCTCTACTCTTGTATATCTACCTATTTTTATGATTATTTTTTTTTTAAACATGTAAATTAGGGTGGATGGGTAAAATCGTCCAAACTGACAATCTCACAAAAAAGGTGTATATAGACAAATTTTTAAGTAGATATCCTTTATTTTTAATTTTCCCCATATGAGATTGTTATGTGTTTTTTTTTGGTTAAAAGTATTTAGATTGTTATGTATATATGTTGTTATTATTATTTGGACGGAAAAGTCGTCCACTATTGATACTTGTTAAGGATCCTTCTTCTATTCTCTGCCGACAGAGGGAAAAAGACAAAACTCTACACTGAATAAGAGTAAGTAGCATAAAGGAGTACTACGTAGAAACTACTGAGAACTTACTTTAGACCCAGGGTGCAAACGTGTTGTTTGGCTATAATATTATTCCGATAGCCTTTTCCGCATTTTCAGACGTGGCCAAGAAACCTTGCTTTTTTTCTTTGACACAGTCAATTTTTGTTATATCCTTTCATGCTTATTGTAAATACTATCTAGAAGGTTAGGTGGGATAACAAAATTTTGGAGTAAGATTTTTCCATGCATATATTAATTTTGAAGGACGAAAAAAAAAAAAATGTTATGCGAAGAGCAATCTTTTCAATTAAGTATATATTAGTCTCTATATATTTAAATATGTCAAGTTATGATTTAACATCGTTAAATGATTATGTAACACCAGTTAACGGCTGTTAAATCACGGGTTCCAATCCACAAATAATTTAAATAATGTGTTTAGACCAATAATATTTGAATGAGATATTTTATTCCAACCAAAAATATTAGGTATTAAACATCCAAATTAAAAATATTTGGGGTTTTTTTTTTTTTTTGAAATTTCCCCTTTAAAATTAAACTAGATCCTGACCCGCACATTCGTGCGGGGAAAATTTTTTAATGAATGTCTTTGCATAAAGTTTGTATTAATATATTATTTTGTTGGTTAGTGAATTATATAATAGTATAGATACCCTAAACTTAGCATAATAATTGTAGAATTATGTTTTGTGTTTTAAAAATAGTTTGGTGCATAAGTTTGTGTTTTCTATTTGATTAGTTTTAAATTTAGAATTGAAAGTTGAGAGTTTTAAAAATAAATTAGCGTCAGATTTAAGTAATTTTATATGTGTTTTTTTAAAAATATATAGATTGGTGCATAAGAAATAATTTGAACAGTTGGAGAAGTTATGTGTCTAAAAGTTATTATACAAATGTTAAAAATTGAAAGAATATAATATTTTAAAATTTATAAATTAAATAGTTGGTAATGCAATATAATTGTTTATAAATTACTATTCGGTAATTCTCAAACATTTTTACGGAAATATAATTTACTGGCACAATAATCAAGCCGAGATATTTTTTTGTGGACGGAATATAATGTTAATGTTGACCCAATTATAAAGCTTCCTTCACCCATTTAATATTTTCGTTTAAATAAATTGATATTTAGTATATTAATGAATTTTAATTTATTTATTTGGACAGATTTATTTTTTATTTTAGAACAATCGTTATTGTCCTTGTTGCTTCTTAATGCCTAACACGTGTCTGAGTGAAGATATCTCTTCTTCTTCCTTAACGTATCATCGACTGGACTTTTAATGGGCCGCTTAATTTTGTAAGATATCTTTATGTACTCTTGTTGATGTATGTTGTCTTATATCAATAAAATTCAGAGAAAAAAAAATGTCGAAAAGAATAATCGTTGTCTCATCTTAAAAAACAAAAAAAAAAAAAACCCACCGAACAAAAGTAAGAACATGGCTCGATCGAAGAATCAATTGCGACAGCTATTTCGTCTCCGTTTATACAGTGTTGCAAATCGTGAATTCTTTAAAGAGGTAAGGTTGTTATCGAATCAGATCTATAGTTTTACTGCCTCAATTCCCAATCTGTGAATTTTTATGTTTGAATAGATATCCTTGTCCAAGGATTGTCAAGAAACACCAGATCTTCTACGGGTAACTATTGTCAATTGAATATCCAAATTTTTGTTTTCACTGAATTAAATCAACTAATACGAATTTGATTTCGTGTAGTTTTTCTCGTTAGCTACAGAAGCAAGATGAACATTAAAATTCCAGTTTACCGAGCTATTTTTTTTTTTAAACCCATCAATTTTTTACAGTATATTTATGTTAGCTGAAAAGAGTTCTATTTAATTTAGCTTCTATATATATATTTCAAATATAATGATGTTAATGGAAGAAAAGGATAAACAAAGAAGAAAAACTGATACGATTATTAGAAAACAATAGCTATTACCAAAAATTTAAACATGGAATGTATTCAGGTCAAGTATAAATTGCGAGTAACCTAAAAATGTGGAGGAGGCTATCACGTTTTGTCATTGGAGCTATTCAAAAATCTATTGGTTGAAGGTTAGTGTCTTAGTGAGATCATAATTTATACACTTTGTTTATTAGATTTGCATATTTACCTACTGTTATTGAGTCTAATTGTGGGTTACTTAATATAGAAAACTTTGTTTTTCTCTAGTATGTTAAAATGAAAGTACTAAATAAGAGATGCAAAGTATTAAAAATTCTACCATTGTTTGATATGCATTAATCACCTTTACACGAATGAACGATTTTTACTTGGATTCTGCATCTTGTCTTGAAAGGTTTGATGTTAGCAAGATTGGTGATATAAGATTTCATCCATTGTTAGAAATGAGAAACGAAGTAGCAATGTTGAAATAGCAAGATTGGTCTTTTGCAGTCATTTTTAAAAAAGAAGTAGCAAAAGGTTAGGGGTCGTTTGAAAGCTTAATGAGTATGGAAAATGGTATTAGTCATTCTATATTTATAGGGAAAAGAGGTCGGCTAGGGTTAAACCTATTAGATCAAAAGAATATATTTGCAAATCCATTTTTTAAATAAAGTTTTAAGGTATATACTTGATTTGAGAGGTATAGAATATATAGTTATTGTTATATTTGGAAAATATATTAACTGAATTCGAAAAGATTGAAAACAACCTTCAAGTTTGGATATTTTTGAAACGAATTATTGTTACTATTACTATCTATCCTTATTTTGTATTCGAAATTAAAGGGATACGTTTGTTTTGGTAATATCTTTAAATTCGTAAATGTCATTTTTGGTTTCCAATTAATTTTGTTCAGATTGCCAAAATCTCAACCGGCCGGATCAAGCAAAGGATCGAGCCCATGATCCGCGTGTCGACCCGCCAAAGAACCCCAGGATCTGCGTGTTTATTCGGTCCAGTAGCCCAAGATCTGCGGGTTACTTCCTTTCAAATTATTGTTTTACCCTTCTACGTGTTTCTTTTTTTACTCTTTGAATGCAAAATTCCTAATGGCATTCTTTGTAATTCTTTACCCTTTATAAGATTATTTATTATCTAATGCTTCCCAATTAATAGTATAGATTACTAACTAAATTAGAGGAACTTTATTCATCTAGCAAATAATCATTTATTGGTGTTTAATAAAAAGTCATTTCTATTGAGTTTGTCGTTCTATTGGTTCTACGATTTCATAGATATATAGTGACTAATACAATGCAAGTAATTGTTTGTAATCAAGTGAGTCATATTTTAAAATATCAGTAACAAGATTATATCAATAGCCAATAGGAACGGCTTATGTTATGTCATAATTTAAAAGCTCTAGGGTAACAACAACATCCCCTTTTACAATAGCATTTTTCAAATATATCCCCTATATTTTCAAAAATGCTCTTGAAGTTTTAGGTGGCGCATATGGTGGCAGACCTCCAAATAATTTTTTTTCGTCTTCTCCTTGATTGATTAATCAGAAGGATTTAAGGTACAATAAACTAAGCTGAAAGAAAATGAAAAAATCTCCGCAAGCTAAAGCCCAAAAGAGAGAAATATAATCCCAAACAAAATAAAGAAATCTTTGGAAGGTAACGCCCAAAAGAAGAAAACAAGGAAAACAAAGAAATTGGAGCAAAATTAAAAATTAAAGGTAAAGAAAATGGATCAAAGCATTAAAACTGATATACTAAAATGAACATCATAACTCAAACTTTTTATAGAATTCGGTAAAGCCAAAGCTGGAACAAAAGAAAAACGACAGAGAGCCCAGAACTAGGAAGCTTCTGGGAGGCGAGGGAACCCGAACGACGGTAGAACTCAAACTCGTAGCTAGAACAATAAAGGAAGAAACAAACGCGTGACAACAACGCAAACATAACCAGAAACAACTCCACAACGACCACCCCGAGAAATCAAAACACTAGAGAAGACAAGGGTTCAAGGATAAACCTTGAGAGAACGACTGAATATTTTCCAAATAGGATCAACAAGTCTTACCCCCAGACACTCGTAGACCTGATCTTGACTACCTACAAACAAGAGATGGGTTAAGTCCTTCCAAGAGAAGACCTGAAAATCAAACACGCTGCTTTGCCTTGGAGCCAAAACCACATATCAGATTAAACGCAGATAACGACTAGTAGAGGGCTGCTTAGTGAAGAATTCTCATCCGAATGAACAAAACCACAAATCGAAACCTTGTCACACATTATGCACCAAAAACTCAAGAGAACAAAACAAAGCAGAATCACTAACATCGAACAAAAATTGATGAGCAAACTTGTCAAAAGCGACCAAACATACTTTCACGAACTTGATCTAGAACTGCTATGAAGATCCGATGAAACCCAAAAAAAAAAATGACGAGCAAGGCAAATCCACCACCACTTCTTGGCTGAGACCAAGGCACCATCGACCTTAACGATGTTCTAATGTTGTCTTATTCACAAAGGGAATAAGAAAAACATGATGGGAGAAAATCCAACAACCTCGGGTGGTACACAACAAACACAAACAAAATCAAAGCATGAGCATAGAGGAGGCATAGCTCCGGGGTTATCGGTTTCACCAGAGCTAGCAGCCGCACAATTCGAGCATCTCCATTGGAAGGTTCTTTAGTGGGTTCTTACAATTAAAAAAAAAAAAAAAAAAAGAGAGATAGAGAGAGGGAGTTAGTAGGGATTCTCAAATGAGAAACTTTGAGATAGTCCCATGAGACCCTTGGTTTTCTTTAAAATTTTCCCATTTTATACTACTCAAAAGCTATTATTTCTAAAAAGAGTTTTCGTGGAGTAGATATAACTAAGTAAATAAAGAAAAGATATAGAGGACAATCGGTGAACTAATTAATTAATTAATTCGGTGATCAAGTGGCTGCCACCGAGTAAGGGTTGGATAAAGCTCACAACGGATGGGGACTCTCATTGAAATCTAGGGCCTGCCACGGCTGGAGGAGTCCTATTGGGAAAAGATGGATCTTGGATGAGATGTTTTACCATCAACATAGGGGTTTGTCCAGCACCCCTAACGGAGTTGTGGAGGGCCTACAATGATTTGTTTGCTATCTGGGAACATGTTTTTAGACGCATGTAGTTGGAGTTGGACTCGGAATTGGTTGTCAGTTTCTTACGGACAGGGATAAGCGAGGCTAATTTGCTGTCTTTCCTAGTACGGTTGTGCCATGGCTTTTTTTACAAAGGACTAGATAGTCCGGGTTACTCATGTGTATAGAGAGGCTAACCGTCTAACTGATAGGTTGGCAAACTATGCATTTTAGTTAAGCTTAGGTTTTCATTCTTTTGATTCTTATACTGATATAGTTCGTTCGATTTTGTTGGATGATGCGGATGGGACAGAGATTCCACGTGTTGTACGTGTGTAAATCTTTTTTGTTTAGTTAGTAAAATGTGGGAGACAATTGCCTCCCCCTTGCCTACAAAAAAAAAGGATATGCTATATGCAATTGTGATCCATCACATGTATGTATTATTTAAAGGGTTCTAATTTGTGTTTGGCATATAGGATAAAATAGGATGGAAATCTACTACATCGATTACATATACAGTTAATTAAGGATTGGCGGAAAACCTAATATTTTTTGTCAACCCCTTAACAATGGTATTAATTTGGTTTAATCAATAAACATTTATAATTAAAAAAGGGAAATTTGATTTGTCTATCAAAAAGTTAGTTGTTTTAATTAACCATTTTCAAAACCAGCGATCTTTTAAACATTTTCGAAGCATGAATAAAATAATAGAACCGAAGAAAAATAATCGGACTTGAACCAAAAAAAAAAGAGACATGAACAAGCCAAAATACCCGAAACATAGCCTAAACATCTTGACGTCAAGAACTTTATCGAATACAAAATCGAACAAGTATCAAAATCTTATCGAATACTAAATCGAACAAGTAGCCAAACAAATAAAAAGTAGAAGTATATACCCAAAAAATATTAAGTATTATTTATATTTTAATAATCCAAATACCCAAAATTACAAATTTTCCGGTATTTTTGGTAATTCATGTGAACCAAACGATTAACCAAGATCTTCTTCTTTGTTCAAAACTTGTCGAGAAGCTTTCTCTTGTTAGAGTTTTGTGGCTTGTGACAAGGTTGAAGACGAAGGCTCCAAAACGCACCGTTTCATTATTGGAAATGTTGTCAACGTACCAAATTTTCGTTTTTCTTTACAGGATTGGCCCAAACTTTTTTGTTTGTTTGACAGCGAGAAAACTAATTATAGCACATTAAATTGAAAACTCATTAACCAATATTAACTGAACAAACCGATTTAACTGATTTTACCTGATTTAACTAGGTTTATTGAATTTAATCCAATATCGGTTTAATTTGGAATTTCATTAACCAAAATAAACCGTGAACCAAATTACACCGAATATTTATTTGGTTAATGTGATATTGTCTGATAACCAAAAAAACAGAGAATCCTGAAATTGGCTCGGTTTGGTTTCGGTTAACCGAACTTGCAAGACTGGATAAAAGCATAGATTTTTTGGGTATTTCAGATACTTTAGATAGTTTAAATAGATTTAGTACAAAATATAAAATATCAGCCGCTCTGAACCCGAATCGAACTTAAGCGAACCAAAACAAAAAATAAAAAAATATTTGAACAGGACATAGATCTCAAAACCTAAAAACCTGAACCCGAATGGACCTACCGAATCAGCCCGAGTACTCAGATACACCTACCTTATATAATCCACCTACCTTATATAGTCCTCCCACATCGCATTTAATTAAACCACCTCAACTAAAATAGTTCTCGTTAGTCAATATAGACTCAATCTAAAGAGGCCCAACTGATGTGAGAGATTCTAAGGGCTTTCACGATTAGAAAGGCCTTGTGGCATTAATGAAATTCCTTGGTGTTTATAGATGTACTAGATAAGGACCCGTCCGATGGACGGATTTAATTTTTAAAAAATTAAAATTAAATTTAACAACGTTGTAAGTGAAATTTTTCTTTCAAAAGTAAAAAAAATATTTATTTTTTCACTATTGCATTTTTTTTTAACTACTAAAATTATTAATTCAAAATTATTTCGAATGAAATATCACATAACAATAACTCATGATATAATTATATGAAGAACTAAAATTAAAAATATTCATCATAAAGTTGGCGAATGAAACCAAAGTGGTTTTGAATTAGACACGTTAAAAATATAAAGATGATAAATCGACTAAATCCCTTAGCCTTCCAAGCTAACGTTGCGGGATCTATTCCTATATACTCGATTTCAATGACTTTATGATCAATCAATAAAAATTGATAAAGTCAAAAAATTATAAGCACGATGATATATGAATCTTATATAATTTAAATATGAACATAGAAGTTTAAATAAATAATTTGAAGTAGTATAATTAAATTCAAAATATCAAAAAAAAAAAGAAGAAGCATATATGGTTCTTACATATTCAAGAATTTCAAATAAACAATATAAAATTACTTAAAGTCTTCACATATTTCTAATTAGAAAATAAATTGATATAAATAATGTAAATTTGTAATTTAAATCATAACAATCTCATAATACTACAATCATAATTGAGGACAAACAAAAAACACAGTTAAGTAAAAAATATTATAAAATGGAAAAAAAAATTGATCTCTCATATTTCTAATTGAAAAAATTAAGTCAAATAAATAATATGAGGATTATTTTAATTAATTCATTAAATATTTCTAATTTGAAAGGAAATTGAGATAAATAATATAAAATTTTAAATTAAATCATGACACATGAAAAGAAATTTGACTGATAACGGTTCATGATACTATTAATTACTAACTTTGAGAAACAAAAATATATCATATTAGTTATATAATAACATATGTTTCCTTTTTAATAAATTTGCCTGATTTTTTTCTTGTTTAATTAAAATATATATTTTTAAATACAAAAACGTATAATATAATTTCCTTATTATTATCTTTGGATTTTTTTAAAATTTTGTAATAGAAATCTTAATTATTTACAGTTATCCTTATAATTATCTTTTACAATTTATAGTTATTTAAATATATATTTACTTACAATTATTTTATTTTTTCTATTTTAAAAAAGAAATTTTTGTTTTACTCGTGTCAAAATCTAAGATCGATAGATTTGCCACGTGTCACGATCCTATGAGTTATTAACTTTGAAAACCATACTTTATATAATAAAAAAATTAGTAAAATAAGAAAAGTATAATGAAAATAGTACTTTTTATGAGCATAATTTGATATTTTTTTATTTTGAATAAATCACTTAAAAGCATAATTGATAGAAGACTTAATATAATAAAGAACTTTTAAAATTTTTCATTTAATTTGACTAATTTTTTATTAAATTAATATAAAATAACATATATTATTTTTTTTGTGATGATGTGACACTCGTATATATATATATAATTCATGGTATACTTATATGAAGAACAAAAATTAAAAATATTCATCATAAAGTTAGTGAATAAAACCAAAGTAGTGTTTAATTCGACACGTAAAAAATATAGAGATTATAAATCGACTAAATTCTTTAGCCTTCCAAGGTAACGTTGCGGGTTCGATTCCTATATACTCGATTGCAATAACTTTATGATCAATCAATAAAAATTAATAAATTCAAAAAATTATAAGTACGATGATATATGAATCTTATATAATTCAAATATGAACATAGAAATTGAAATAAACAATTTTGAAATAGTATAATTAAATTTAAAATATCAAAAACAAAAAAAGAAACATATATGTTTCTTACATATTCAAGAATTTCAAATAAAACAATATAACACTTTACTTAAAATCATCACATATTTCTAAATTAGAAAATAATATTGATAAAACTAATGTAAATTTTTAATTTAAATCATGACACATGTCGCTATTTAAAATCATTAGAACTATGATATATTATAAATCTTATATAATTTAAACTGAACGTAGAAACTAAAATAAATAATTTAAAGATACAACAGTTTAAAATAAAAAATTATAAACACGATGATATATGAATATTTGATAATTTAAATATGAAAAAAAAAATTGAAATAAACAATCTAACTATATTACAATCATAATTGAGGACAAACAAAAAAAACACGGTTAAGTAAAAAAATTTACAAAAAGGAAAAAAAAATTGATCTCACATATTTCTAATTGAAAAAATAAATTAAAATAAATAATATGAGAATTAGTTTATTTAAATCATCACATATTTCTAATTGGTAAAGAAATTGAGATAAATAATATCAAATTTTAAATTAATATATAATAACATATGTTTAATTGAAATATAAAAAAACGTACAATTTCATTATTATTATCTTTTGACATTTTAAATTTTTTTTTTTTATCGAAATATGAATTATTTACAATTATTCTTATAATTATCTTTTACATTTTTTAAAATTATTTAAATTTGTAATTACTTTCAATTATCTTTTTTTTTTAAAGGAAAATTTTGTTTTACATGTGTCAAAATCTAAGATCGAGAGATTTGTCACGTGTCACGATCGTATGAGTTATTAACTTTGAAAACCATTCTTTATATATTAAGATAGGTACTTTTTTTTTTTGTTAATTATGTAGGTAGTTCCACCCTCTTTCGTCCTCCCTGTAAATCGACTTCTCTCTTATTTTTCTGATCGAGGCATTAATGAAATTCCTTGGTGTCACTGTAAAAAAAGTGAAGTTCCACTACTCTAAGGGCTTTCCGTATTTGAAAGAATACAGATATTCCAGCTGTCACTTATGCACCCACAAAATGTTAATATCGTGTAAAAGAATCAGCAAAATACCCACCTCCGAATAATGGAAAGACATAGGGTTTATCTCCACCAATGTGAAAGGGAAAGTGAGACTTGCAAATATGGTTTTTTTTTTTTTTTGCCAGCAATTGCAAATATGGTTTAGTGAACTGCAAATATGGTTTAGTGAACTGCAAATCAATTATTATAATAGATTCCTTATGGAACTTTCTGTTATGAGCCAAAGCTTTTGCTCTTGCTCTTGTTATTGGCCCCTCTGTTATCACCCTAATGATTGAATAGCACAAAGAATTGCTTAAGCTTTAAGCTTCCCTTAACCCTAGCCTTTTTTGAGAATAAGGTTAATGTTTGGAAGATGATTATTATTAAGATTGAGAGATCATTATATAGATCTCTTACAACCAAACGTAAGTTAAATTTAAAAAGGATAATATTAAAATCTAAAAGGAAAATATTAGAACATAAATTCGACAATTAAGAAGCTTCTACCAATCTTAATTGATCCCATATCTCGTACCGTATCACTTCCATGTTTAATGAACTTCGTAAGTGTTGGTGTATGCAAAACCTCGATAGTCTCTAGGTTTTTGGTAATCTTTTCTTCTAAGAAAAAATTCCTAGCCAGTTTACCATCTTTTTTTTCACTAATCCTAAGAATATGAATAAGGAAATAAAACTGTTACAAAAAACAAAAAACTGAAAGAGCTTAACATGACCTAGCTAGAAACTATTTTTTTTTTTTTTTTTTTGAATAACCGCAGGTCTCCCAAAGGTTTCCTAGGCCCAAGGACTAATCCCACGAGGCTGGCAATTCCCCTATGTAAACCTGCCAGTGGCCGTGCCTCGAACCCTGGTGGCGGAAGTCACAGCTGTTATAATACAAACTAAGAGACATTATATCAATGGAACTTTATTCCAAACATTTCCGAAGGCACTGTCACTACAAAAAAAGTCTACATTAATAGCACATTAGGATAGCTCGGTTTTCATAATTGCTATAGAAGATGTTTTGGTGGAATGAACTTAAATATAATAGCATTTTAAAAACGCTAAACCGGAAATGAATAAGCGGAAGGCTAAAATTGGCTTTGCGAGCATAAAATTTGATTAAGCGGTAATAGTTAGCTAAAACATTTTCGTTTTCCGCCTAAGTGCTGGCCCAAAATATAGAAGATGCTTACCTTTTTTTTTTCCTTAAAAAAACAAAAATTAGATTTGAGCATCGTTCGTCCCTCCCTCTCTACACCTTCAAACCCTAAAATCTCTTCTCTCCCTTTATCCATCTCCAAATTCGCCTCTCACAATCCAAATTATTCATTGTTCTTCTCCTTCTGCTCTTCCTTTCCCTCTTCTTTCACTCTCCCTCTCACCCTCTCAATCTAATGTCAATACCATTGTTGGATAATGAAAATCTCCAGATCGAGAAGAGAAGCTGGTGTCGGTCGGAGAAGGTGTGTTGGTTTTGTCTCTCTTTCCCCTTTGAATCTGCGTTTGGGATTAGGGTTTCGTTTCGTGGTCTGGTTTGTAATGACCTTAATCTTCGAATTCGTTTGATTTCCCTCGAGGAAGCCTTCATCATTGTCGAAGCTTTGAATCGATTTTTTTTTTGTTAGTATCTTTTATTGTTTCTTCCATCAATTCCATCAGCGACTAGTCATTCAAGTCAGATTAGAAAATGGGGTTTCTCGGACTTAGTTCATTGGGACTTTATATCAATCAAGACTTGTTTTTGTTGTTGTTTGGATTTTAGGGAATGGGAAGCTTGTAAGATTTGCGAAGTGTCTGTGATTGTAAAAGCTTAAATTCAGCTTCTCATTTTGACATAAGGTGATTCTTAATTTTTGGATGATGAGACCACTAAGAATTTTACCTTTCAGGTTGTTGATCATTACGGTTAGAGAACAACAAACCAAACATTGAAAGAGCAAGAAGCTAGTCCCATCATGAAAAAATCTATGTAGCTTCTGGAAAGCATGGGGGTAAAGGTCTTAAAGAGAAATAAAGATAATTAGAGATTTTGTCTTTTCTTTGTCATGAATTGATTCTGTTCGTTGTTGACTTTTTCTTTGATTGATTGGTTTCTCTGTTTACTAAATCTATATATAGCTTTTTTTGTCTAGGTTCTTCAAGATCCAGAAGCCCAAAAGAGAAGTGTTTCGTATGGGTGACACCTACCATAGCTGCTGATGTCATAGCATTTGTGAATTCGCTATGTTATACGTATGATAGCATATTTTTCGCGCTAACGATGAACATATTTCTTGTAGTATGTGTTACAAACTCACCATGGTTTATTTATAGGCATACACATAATACATAAGTGTATATATAGATGCAATCATGCATGGTGGTGATTGGTGAATATATGATATAGTTTTAAACACCCGGCTGAGTCTGAACAGGTTCGTCGTTAAGCCCGTGGCCTCCCCCTCCGTTGTGTCCTCCACCTCCGTAGCCTCCTCCACCACCTCCTCCGTAGTGTCCTCCACCTCCGTGGCCTCCTCCACCTCCGTAACCACCATTTCCTCCACCGTATCCGTCAAGTCCGTGGCCCCCTCCTCCGTTGTGTCCTCCATGTCCTTGGCCTCCTCCTCCTCTGTAACCACCTTCAGGTTGCACAGTTTCCTCACTCTCTGCTTCACCATGCCTGCCCAAAAAAAAACAGGTTATTTCAAAGACATTTTTAAGCACGTGTAAATGTGAATTCCTCTTCCCTTGCGGCAGACACTTCGGAGACAACGAGAAGAACTGCGAATAGACCCAACAGAATCAAAGCCTTGGAAGCCATTTTTTTTCAAGTTCTAATAACTCTCTGAAATCTTATTTGCAAGGGATTTAGCCATTGCCGTACAAGCTGAAATCTTCTGGTTCCTCTGATCTTCAAACATGAAGCACAAGTTCCATCTCTAAACATGAAGCACAAGTTCCATCTCTAAATTCGTTTTTAAGGCTGTATAATATTATTATATCCCCAAGACTTTTGAAAGAATGGAAATATATTTATTTGGGAATGACTGTATAAATTTATTTATTTTTGCTGAAAATGGTTCCTTGTGGGCTGATTGGCATAAATACCATAACTTGAGAAACAGATCTATTTGGGAAATTGTTGAATCTATAAGTGACAGCTGGTCTTGGAAGATGATTCTGCGTTTGCGGCCCCTGGCTGAGAGGTTCATTCATGGAAGAGTGGGCAATGGGAAAAAAATCTCTTTCTGGTCCGACAATTGGACTCCGCATGGTCCTCTCATCAAGTTTCTTGGTGAATCTGGGCCTAGAAGCATGCACATTCCCCTGGCTGCAAGGGTGGCTGATGCATCTGCTAATGCTAGGTGGATCCTGCCTTCCCCTAGATCTGATGCAGCTCTAGCTCACCATGCCTATCTCACCACGGTTACGCCGCCTTCCCAGGCTTTGCCTGAGGACTCGTATTGTTGATAATTTTGAGTGTCATGGTTTCTCTTCCTCAAGAACTTGGGAATCAATGAGACCCAAAGAAATGGCGAAAGATTGGTCAAAGTCTGTCTGGTTTAAGGGTTCGGTTCCTAAGCATGCGTTCAACATGTGGGTCGCCCATCTTAACAGACTGCCAACGAGGCAGAGACTCGCTACTTGGGGTATTTGCGCTTCAACTTCTTGCTGCCTTTGCTCGCAGCAAACAGAAACAAGGGATCATCTCCTCATTACGTGTGACTTTTCCGCGGTGATTTGGAACTTGGTTTTCAATAGGCTGTGTCCAACGCAGCTGCTTTTCAGCACTTGGGCTGAACTCCTCTAGTGGACCCGACGAAGATCCGCCATTGCTCCTTCTCTCCTTAGGAAAATTGTTTCTCTAGCCACGGTCTTTCATTTATGGAAACAGAGAAACAATGTCCTTCACAACGGGCGCTTGATTCCCTCACAAATCATTTTCAATGGTATTGATCGTGAGGTCCGCAATACCACCACGGCTAGAAGACATAAAAGGCAATGGCGACCGCTAATGCCGCTATGGATCCGATAGTTTTCCCAAAACTAACCCACATCTTACACAGTGAAATGAAGTACATGTACATTGTTTACTCAATTGTGTGTCCATGTAAACAACGCAAGTTGGTGCATCTGTTCCCCAAACCGAATTTAAAATTTTTTGAGCAATATCACTGATTATTTTAAATGTTCATCGGAATTTGGTCGAAATTTTGTCGATAAAAGGTTTGATCATTTTTTTTGGTCTTAAATTTGGTCAAAATTCTACTTGTTTTCTTATAGTGATAAAATCTATTAAACAAAAATCTTCGCAAAAAATCTATATGTATAGTATAGTTAATTAAGTCTATAATAATATCTTCACATCTATATGTATAGTATAAATCCTTATTTTTTCAAAAGATCCGTTGTAGCACATTGGCTAAATGCTTTAATGATCTATTTGATCCATTCTTGCTTATATTTCGGGTTCAAAGCCCGGCAGCAGAAATAATTTTAAGGTTATACTTTCACCCTCTACCTATTTCCCCCTATACATACTATAATATTATTTACAATTCCACCCAATTTTATACAATTCTACCTGATTCACCAAAATCAATTATGATGTCTAAATGCGTTTTAAAATCATAAAATCACGTTTTAAAATTGATAATTTGCGATTAAACCGGTAATCTGACCCATATCTCATAACCAGAACTGAACCTTCTATTTGATAGAGAGGGTTCGATTTTTTCCCTTAAACCCTAACAAAATCGATTTGGGGATTTTCTTCTCCACCCGACACTCCCTTCTTCTTCTCCGACTGAGACTTCGTCTCCAACAGCGACTGAATCTCCTCCAAGATCTTTCGAAGATTCTTAAATCGATTCTTCTTCTTATTCTCCGTCTTGTGTTTCTCGACGTCTCTGTCCTCTAGAAGAGCATCATCAACCCAACTGAATAGGTGTTTCTCCTTTTTATCCTAACAACATACCAGAATAGAAAGCTCAATCTATTGAACAAACACCACAAAATTTTGATAAATTTTAAAAACCAATACATTACCTTCACGCCCCTAACACATCTGTAGAATCTCCGATACGGATTCTCATCTGTCTTTGAAGTGAAGGTAGTGATCTCGTCACCACACTAGCACCTATTTGGGTTTAGTAGTCTGTTGTGTTTATTCGGGTTAAGAGACATTTGGTCGGGTTAACGGTTTAATCGAGATAAATCGATTTTAAAACGCGATTTAGTGAATTTAAAACGTTATTAAGGAGGATAATTGATTTTGGTGAATTAGGTAGAATTGTATAAAATTGGGTGGAATTGTGAAGAATATAGTACGTATAGGAGGAAATAGGTAGAGGGTGAAAGTATAGGGGAACCAAATTGAAACGATATATTACAGGGGGACAGGGGCAAGCATCCCTAAAGATATTCGATGAGCTTTTGAAACTTGCCACTACAATGGTCAATGTCTTTTGCAATCAGAACACATAAATTGTATCAACGGCTACAAGTTATTGCTTGAGGAAGAAGTAGCAGACTGTTTTGATTAAAATAAGCACCACAAATCTTGCCAAGCACGGCACCAAACCATTTAGTGATCATTTGTGTTTCTTCACTCCAATGGATCCAAAAGTCTACGAGTACTCCTTATATAACACCTAACGCCTCTTTTCCCAATCTCAAGGCCGCTTCTTAACGGCTGGGACTTATTTTGGCCGTAATCTATTTCCATTGCTTTTTCTGCAATTTTAAAATAATTCGAGCCAAACAGTAACATCAGGTCTCCTAGAAACCTTGATTTCGACTCTTCTTTAAAAAGCTCATCACGTTTGTTGTAACACGCCCAACATATTGCGTAAACTCTCCATACGCCTAGCTACTCTCTTTAAAGACAACTCACTAGACTCCAAGGCGGTTACACAATCAGTTTCTGCCAAGGACAAGTGATTATTCCACTGGTTTTTTCTCTCTTTTGTCTCAGGTAAAGAAACGCGATACATACACTTGAACCCATCAGCTTTCAAAGCATTTAGTTTAATCCACCTCATACTTGATGTTCCTTCAGGTACTGATTTAACAATGTGCCTTTACTCTCTTGTCCTTCTAGTTTGGTTTGTATTTGACAGTTGAAGTAACTACTCTTGTCTGCGATTAAGAGCTTTGCCACGAGACAAAAGACTGATGCTTCGAAAGCTTCAGCCAATAAGTAGATGTGCCCACTTCTTCAACTAGCTTTGCTCTTCTTATGCTAACCTCTAAAGCTTTATCCGTAAAGTCTGACTCCCGAATCTTGTATCCAACAACAATCAGCCTTCTTTTTTAACTAATAACTTGTAAATAAAGTTTTGGTGCATGACATGAATGTCTCATGCCATATTCGTTGCTTGACTGAAGAGTGGAGGCTGACCCGAGCAAACAATTTCTTGGTGTTTGTGCTTCTTCCAACTCACCCTTCTGCTGATCAAGCTTTTATTAATACGCAAATTCAAAAACTTGGGACAGCTTGCATGTTCCTTGGTTTAAATCAGTCTAGTTCAAGCAAAGAATCCCCAAACATACCTTTATACTTTGGCTGAATATTCGTTATAGATTAACAACAAGAGACCGACTCAATGAATGTGCCATCCAAGTCTTCTCTGTTCCGCGGTCTTGGAAACTAAATCATACCTCTTCTTTGAGTGTCCTCTTGTCGTTGAGGTTTGGAGTTCCTTCTTCGCTTACACCACTCTTTCTCCTCCATCTTCTTTTCACCTTGTTGTGAATTTGGGTAATAAGATCAGCTTCATCAAACTCAAATCCCAATATAATGTGTAAATTGATATTCTAGACCATACTTCATCTTCTAAATTAGGTGAAGCATGCATGTTATTTTTGAGAAACAAAAACGGAAAAGGAAGCAGAAAAGGAAAGGAATGAGAGAGAAGGAAGCAATTAAATACTCTCTTCAATAACACTTTTACATAAAACTATATATATCGTATAACTTCACCAACTAACAGAAGATCCGCTGTAGCACATTGGCTTAAGCAAACATTCTAGTTTAATACTGGTTCTGAATTCCGGGTTCGAAGCCCGGCAGCGGAAAATTATTTTTTGTTATTTTTTATTAATGACTCGGTTGGGTTGTGTGTCGGATCGGATAAAACAATTATTTTGATTCGCCAAGTATATAAAGCTTTGCTAGGTTTGAGACTGATGTGCGACTCGGTATTTGGTCAGAAATGATGGTCGCAATTTAGTCTTAAAAGAGCGACAATTTAACAACCACCTGTTATAGTTACGCTTAAGTTGCAAATTAGTTGAAAAAAGTTAGTACAAAACACGTTGAAATTGCATAGGAGGTAGGTGTACTGAACTTTTGTGACTACTTGAAAACAGTCGCAAAATAGTCACAAATTTAAGCCTATATATACCACCCCTCATTCATTTCATTTTTCCATCCCACTCTTCCACCCTCCCATTAGTAAGTCAAAAAAAAAAAACCAAAGAGAAAGAAGAGAAAAAAAAAAGACAAAGAGAAGAAAAAAAGATGAAAAAAACGAAAAAGAAAAAAAAAGAGAGAAGAAAAAAAACGATGTGGAATAATCCGTCACGAGAATGGATGTAAAACCGAATCGATCCATACACAAATCACATTGCGGTGGACTATTTGGCGGGTGTGGAAGCATTCATCAGTTATGCAAGCCATGTTGAAGACAGAAAAGGTCGGTTTTTATGTCCTTGTGTAGTATGTCAAAATTCGAAACCCGTGAAAGCTGTTACGGTATCAAGTCATTTGCTTAGTAGAGGATTTATGCCGAATTACTATGTATGGTATGAACATGG